AATATGGAACTCTAAATTGTATAGTTTTAAAACGAATTTACCTATTTTCAAATGAGATACCCGAGAGAAGCCGCAAACTTTTTTGAGACACAGTTAGAAGTGATACTATCAGACTGTAGGAAAGACACCATGCAGCAAATTTACTGAGAAACAGAAGATCAAATCGTTTGGTCTTTTGGTGAGAAAGCCGCCTGAACAACTACCAGTACAGACGCTACACATGGAAGGATCTGAAGTAAAAGTAAGAGGTCGTCCTGGGAGAACATGGGTTGATGACATTAAAGAGCTTCTACATACACACGGAATGACAGTAGCCATTTCTGCACATCAAGCAATGGATCGCAAACTGTTCCTCCCCACAACGCTTAACGGCAGAAGTGGAAACTAAAGATGATGACCTTTTTTTCAATTCTAATGTAATTCAATTTTAACATAAGCAAGTGAAGGTTGGAAAATCCACTAAAAACATGAAATAAACTGTCAATGCATCTGAAAACAAAAGTCTGAAGAGAATATAGAAATTAAAATGGTATGAATTCCATAAGAGTGAAGAGAAATATCTTGGCAACCACCAGTGTCAATAGTTATAATATAGAGAAGATGACCCTATACTGAACACATCCTGAGCAGCAAGCAGCAAAGAATCACCAGACAGTCATTAAAATAGGAAATATAGGGAACCCAAAAGACACTTTACGGCAAAATTTGTTGATAAAGGCCATGTCCTCTGGACTAGATTCCGTCCATAATTATTGAACTGGTTGCATAGAATAGACCGGAATAGATTGTGAGCCCTATTCTCTTTCTTTCTTTTTCTTTGTGACCAGCGTCATTGCACACATTTATAAACCATAAGTGCTTTGCCACCAGTACGGACAGCTGATAAGAATTGTCCGCCTGTGTCGCCGTCCGCACATAACTCTATAGCTACAGCGACGTTCCTCCATTTACCTCAGAGTGTCAACTCTGGTACCCATTTCCTAGAGGCTGGGTGAACCCCGGGAGCCGCACGGTTTCGAACACCTACCATGGGCTGCAGCGATCTGTGGGTATGATTTCACCTGTCGTGGAAACTAATGCTGATAATGTTAAACGCAAATGCAGACAAAGAGTGATGGATTCGAAGTACATCTGCTGTGAATGTCTTGAAATAAGAGTTTATATCTAGATTTGTATCGTCAGTTAATTATTTCTAGATTTTCATCGTCAGTTAATAATTTCTAGATTTGCATCGTCAGTTAATTATTTCTAAATTTACATCGTCGGTTAATTATTTCTAGATTTACAAAGTCAGCTAATTATTTTTAGATTTGCAGTCTATTGATTTCTACGTTTATATCGTCAGTTAAATATTCTTAGATTTACATCAATAGTTATTTTTCTCTAAACTTATATAATTTTTTCTAGATTTATATAGTCAACTATTTATTTCTAGATTTACATCGTGAGGTAATTATTTAAAGATATGCATTATCAGTTAGTTAATCCTAGATTTACACCGCCAATTAATTATTTCCAGATTTACATAGTCAGTTAATTATTAATAGATTTACATTGTCATGTAATTATTTCTAGATTTATATAGTCAATAAATTATACCTAGATTTACATTGTCAGTTATTTATTTTTAGATTTACATCTTGGGGCAATTCTTTCTAGGTTTACATAATCAGTTTTATTCATAGAATTTCATTGTCAGTTAATTATTTCTAGATTGACATCGTCAGTTAATTATTTCTAGATTTACCTTGTCAGTTAATTATTTCTAGATTTACATAGTCAGTTTTTTTTATAGATTCACTTCGTCATGTAATTATTTATAGAATTGAATCGTCAGTTAATTATTTCTATGTATAGATCGTTATTTAGGTATTTTTAGATTTACATTGTCAGGTAATTATTTAAAGATTTTGATCTTCAGTTTATTATTTCTAGGTTTACCTCGTCAGTTTTTTTCTTCGTCTTCTTCTTTTTCTTCTTCTTCTCCCTGTTATCATCACTATCGAAACCACTAGAGAATCATATTCGTAATGTAACTTTTCAGCACTCAGATCACAACAAACTTATAGTGGATAACCAATCAGGTTTTCGACCAAACTATTCTTGCCATACTGCCTTAACTAACATGATTGAAAAATGCCACCAGAATGTAAATGATGGGAAAATATGTAGCGGGGTGTTTATAGACTTTAAGAAAGCTTTTGAAATGATAGACCATAACATTCTTATAACAAAATTTGAAACAATGAAATTTAACCCTAGGCTAATAAAGTTAATAAATTCCTTTTTGTTAAATAGAAAACAAATAATATGTTACAATAAATCACTATTGCGGATCACTGACTTAAATACTTCGGTACCTCAAAGCTCGACTCTCGGCCCTCTGTTATTCAATATCTACATAAATGATCTTCCTTTATGTCTGTCGTCATCCTGCGATTTATTCGTAGACGACTGTACCATCTATGCAAATGCTCAAACATGTAATGAACTAGAGTCGTCATTACAACAAGAATTAAATAATGTAGTCAAATTGAGCAGTGCAAACCGTATGCAAATAAACATTAATAAAACCAAATCTATGCTAATAACGACAAGACAAAAACTTTATAGTTTAAATTCTCAAAGAACGCTTCAACTCTACATTAGGGGCACTCAAGTAGAAAATGTAACTGAGCACAAGACACTGGGGTTGGTAATTGATGCAAATCTAACCTTCAACTCTCATGTACACGCACTTGTGAAACAAACAGCTAAAAAGGTTTAACAGCTTGCAAAAATTAAAAACTTTCTTGATGAACACACAAGAAAGATATTATATATTTCTCACATCCAGACATACATAGACTATTGCTCTACAATATGGGACGGCTGTCACAGCACTGTTATCAAGCGGCTCACATCACTGCAAAAGCGCGCCATTCGCTTAATTAGTAACAATCATGGGACAGTGAGCTCCGAAACATACAAAGGTCTTAGACTACTACCGCTTCGTGAACGTCTACTTTTCAATAAGGCTAAATTTACTGACAAAATATTATCTCAAAAGGCTCCATGCTACTTATGGCCGTTGTTTAAATATAATGGAAGGCATAGTAAGCGCCTAAACATATTACACATCCCTAAACCTAGGATAGACCTTTATAAAACAAGTTTGTCATATTCCGCAGCTCAGTTGTGGAATTATCTGCCACAGCCAATCAAAAGTACTACTGGTCCCTATACACACAATCGGAAACTGTTCGAATATTATCTGAACACCAATTATATGCCCCCATAGAAGATTAAACATATTTGAAAAATAGCGCAGATTTTCCCTAGATTTGTTACAACTAATACGTTTTACTGTAGTTAGAAATGTGCACATTCCAGTGCTTGTGTTGATTAATTTGATGCTATTGCTAACTTTTAATATTTCTTGATGTGTGAATGAAATGATGTAAGAACGGGGGGAGACCTCGAAGGGCAGAATGTTAGACGGACGTGCGTGCCCAATTCCTAACCCTTTAAAAATAAAGTTTGTTCTTTCGTTCGTTCGTTCGTTCGTTCATCATTATCTTGTTCTTCTTCTTCTTCTTCTTCTTCTTCTTCTTCTTCTTCTTCTTCTTCTTCTTCTTCTTCTTCTTCTTCTTCTTCTTCTTCTTCTTCTTCTTCTTCTTCTTCTTCTTCTTCTTCTTCTTCTTCTTCTTCTTCTTCTTCTTCTTCTTCTTCTTCTTCTTCTTCTTCTTCTTCTTCTTCTTCTTCTTCTTCTTCTTCTTCTTCTTCTTCTTCTTCTTCTTCTTCTTCTTCCTTCTTCTTCTCTTCTTCTTCCTCTTCCTCTTCTTCCTCTTCTTCTTCTTCTTCTTCTTCTTCTTCTTCTTCTTCTTCTTCTTCTTCTTCTTCTTCTTCTTTCTTCTTCTTCTTCTTCTTCTCCTTCTCCTTCTCCTTCTTCTCCTCTTCTTCTTCTTCTTCTTCTTCTTCTTCTTCTTCTTCTTCTTCTTCTTCTTCTTCTTCTTCTTCTTCTTCTTCTTCTTCTTCTTCTTCTTCTTCTTCTATTGTCGGGTTCATGCGGGTTCATGCTGTTACCAAGTTGTGACCAGTGTTTTAATTTTCTAATTTTTTTTCTTGGGGTTCTGACTGATTGACGTTCTACCCCATTAGAACTTCACAACAAGCAATAAACATCTTTTGACACAAAGTGTCATCAACTGGATTAGAATCACCCAGGCGCGAGTCCCAAAAGCCTGTTCAACCCTTGGGTTACGTCTAGGCACCCGACGACAGCCAGGGTCGGGTTCTAAGATAACTCCCCCCCCCCCTCCCAAAAAAATGCTTCTATCACGGGGACGGGGACGGGGACGGGGTTGAAAGCTTAATTACAATTCTGAAATGGCTTGAGTGATGAAGTCGTTCTTCTTTTAGCAAAATACATCCAGTTTATTCATCTCTTCTTTGGTGTCTATCATGCTTTCGACTTTATGTTATTCCTTCATAGTTTGGTCAGGCTGTATTACTCGATGGCCACACATAATCACTAATACTAAACTTGAAATTTTTAATTTCAATGACAGCTCAGTACTGATGTACGGAGCGGAAAAATTGAGAACAACTAATGCAATTACTAATAAACGACAAACATTTATTAACTGGTGCCTGCGCAGAATAGAGGTAATGAAATGGTATGTTAAGGAGAACTAATCAAATTCCAGAGGACCAAGATGTAAAGAGAAGACACATGCGTTGGATAGGACAAAGGTTGAGAAAATCAGAGAATAAGTTAAACTAGAATGTCTTTTTAGTTAAAAACACATGAAGAATGGTGCTGACGAGGGAAGCTAAAAGGATGTGGAGGACACGGAGAGAGCTGTGTGCGATAGCGAAGGATAGAATAACTTGGTGTACGTTGGTTGAGGGCCTATGCTCCATTGGGGGATATAGACGCAGAGAAAGAAGAAACAGACTCTGTCTCTCGAAATAGATGAGGCGTGATCTTGTTCCAGTTTTCCCACTCAGAAAAGAAATTATTGTTCTCTGCCACATAGAAATTGAAACATCACGTCAGATAAATGATCGTTACACGCAGGGTGGATAAATGTGTCTTCCGACGCCACAGTTATGTCCCATGTTGGGAAGTAAATAATGTGGTCTTGTAGATCTCTGAATGTCTCCTTTTGTATTGCAACAAAGTACTGGCCCCAGACGTCACCCATGTAATAGATATATGGTTCTCGCTCTGCAACGTGGGGCCCCTGAGGAGGAAGACAGGTTTTTAAACAGTTAAAAAATATGTGCTATAGTTCATAATGTAACTTCCACGACCGGCTCTTGCTGACAGGTCTGACTGACTTTCTACCCCACCAGGACATCACACAAGCGATAAACACCCGATGACACAAAGTGCCACCATGGGGGTGAGGATCACCGTGGAGAGGTCCCAGAAACCGCGTTCAGACAATTGGCCATATCCATAGCCTGCCTATAGTGCGGCCCCTGGCAAAAGCCAGAATTGGCTAACAGGTCGCGCAGCTGATGTCCCGGGTCTGGCTAACGATGTGATAACGCAGCGGTTCTCAAACGAGATATAAACTATTTTCGACAGTGGCGAGGAACGACAACTTAAATATTTACTTTTTAGTATCTACATGCCTGCTTTAATAATTTCACATTTTTTTGCCAAGTTTTGGCATACGCTTAGAGCACTTCTGGTTACCTCGGCACTCAGTTTGAGAGCCGCTGCGTTAACGCGTCGTAAGCCTCCACCCAGTGACGTCAGCAGCATGACCTAACAACAACTGGAGATGGTCGGTGTTAAACCATCTCACGGGGACTGTCTGGTCTTGAGGCGTGGTGTCCTGGTGTCCGGGTTAAATCACCGGTAAGGGCTGGGATTTTTTCACGTGGACTTGGACTTCTAATAATTCCCCCTGATCTCTGGGTAGTTAAGTTAGTTGCGTATCCTTTACAGGACGTTGCAGAACCAACCCTAACAGCCCCTGGCTGTTGTTTGGTTTCTCTTGGCAAATTTACGTCCAGTAGTTTGCCATTGCTTACTGGACCGTCGGCTTTCTTGATACCACTGTCGAAACCAACGCAAGGCGCACTGCCCGCAACTGGGATCGAACCCGGCATCCCGGCATTTCGAAGCGAAGCGTTCGCATCGACTTAGCCACAGAGCCGGATCTCTGGGTAGTAGGCACTTGGAAATCGAAAAGAGTAGCCTAACGGCGCTGCCCAGGCAGAATTTAGAGTTAAAATCCACCCAAAGTATTTCAGGATCCTCGCCGGCGTTACAGAGCCTATGCACTGTGCTGAGATTATTCGGACCCAGGCTTGAGTTAGAAGAAGAACGGAGCACTTATTGGTTACTACCCGTGTGCCATGATGTTGATTCGTTTTTCAAACTTCATACTCCATCTCACTTCACCTCACTCAACTGGGTTGTAGATTACATTGTATCGGTATCAGTGTCCTAAACTAACTTTGCTATACTGTTGATCTGTAATTCCGAGATACCATGTTCGAACTGCGAGATATTTAGCAGCAGATTCCGTCTCTCTCTCTCTCTCTCTCTCTCTCTCTCTCTCTCTCTCTCTCTCTCTCTCCCTCTCTCTCTCTCTATCTATCTATCTATGTCTCTTTCTCTCTCTCTATATCTTTCTAAATATCTCTCTCTCTATCCGTTTCTTTCTCTCTGGCTCATATTATGTATTTTGCTATACGAACATAAACTTCTCTATAGATACAATATATGTATTGCTGTCTGAAGAATGAAAGTTTGAAAGGTACGAGCGAGAATAAATGTTAATCGACTAAAACAATAGAGCCTAAGAATGCATTTGCATGATCCAAAACATCAGCTCTATAACATGTCTTACCCTTAACAGAATAAGTACATGTGGATTACGCTTCAACAGCCTTATGATGGTCTCTCGTAGCGCTATTAGGGCCCTCTCGTAGACACTGACGTGGTGCGCGGTGTAGTGAAGGTAATGGCTGAGACCGATGATATAACGTCCTTCTGATGGAATGGAACCGATAATCTTCTCAGGTGAGTGTAAGTAGCTAGTGGTATAGAAATGTCGCTGCAATGAAAGTATGTTAAAAAAGGTAAAACCAAAAGATTATGAGACGTTATTTCAAACGGAATATTGTCCGTTATGTATAGCAGCCGAAAACTGTGACACTGGAGCACCAGCCTCATCGTGCGCGACGCAAGAGACAGAGAGAGAAAACATTCGAGTGGGGCTCGAAAGAGGTGGTACCCAACCCCCCAACCCCCCCCCCCCCCCCCGCATATAATTTCCGAGGATAGGTGTAGGGCCTCAAGCTTTTGGGAGAAAAAAGCGAGAGAGCGAGCAAGCGAGAGAGCGAGCAAGCGAGAGAGAGAGAGAGAGAGAGAGAGAAAGAAAGAACTAGAGAGAGAGAGCAAGAGAGCAAGAGAGAAAGAGAGATAGAGAGCAAGAGGGAAAGAGAGAGAGAAAGTGAGAGAGAGCAAGAGAGAAAGAGAGAGAAAGAGTGAGTGAGAGCTAGAGAGAAAGAGAGAGTGTGAGAGAGAGAGCAAGTGAGAAAGAGAGAGATAACAAGAGAGAGAGAGAGAGAGCAAGAGAGAGAGAGAAAGATTGGATGCGATTTTTCAAACAATGGAACAAATTTATTTTAATGACAATGGAGATAAATAACTGTTTTCTTAGATGGCATAAGAAAGAAAATGCAAACAAGTGTAATGATCAATAGGGAAGAATTGTTCAAGGAATAAATGCAAATGCTTGTATAACCAGTTGTCTGCGTTTTACTAACAGTTGTCTCACAAACCTTTAGGTCGCACTTTGTAGTGTATGATAAAGGCGAATTTCTTTAGACCAATTAGGTTGGAATTTTCACAATACAGTATCATAAAGGTTGTCTAGGACTGCTTCGTTAACTCCTATGGAATTGCAACATAAATACCCGAGTTTCCATATTATACTATAGTCCATTCCAGAAGCTGTGTCAAACTTTAAAAAAAAACTGTATCCCAGTAACCGTCCGTTGTAAGTTTTCGAAATTTGGCATGCAACCTGCTGCTAATCAAGTCCTTTTAGGTTTAAAAAAAAAGTAAACAAACATCTAATAATTATGATACCCTATTTTACAGTGTATGAAAATACAGACACCCCTCAAAGCAAACGATTGGCATGCTAACAGTTAATTGAGTAATGGGAACTGTTCAAAACTTCAAATTGCTCGCATTTCATAGGGGCCTCATTCTCATGTGGTAATCTCTAACATTAGCCTCATGTGAGAACACTTTTTTAAATTGTATACGGCATGGGCTATAAAGACAATCACAACGCATAGCTGCGTATGGTAACTATTTCCAAACAATCTACAAGCGTGTGTCAATTACAATATATTCTGTGTTTTATGACACGCACATTGTTAGTCAAACAAAGATCAGAGAAATAAACAGCTTTGAGAAAAAAAAAAAACAGCAGCCGTGCAATTATAAATTATACAATTAAAAGGACATGGCAAATCTAAAGCCAAATTTAAAAATTAATGTTCATACGTTACATGAGTTTTCGGTTTATTTTTAAAAGTTTGAGGGCACAAACTTTGAAACGCCAGACAAAGTTAAAGCCATGCTCTGCCTTGCCAAGATATGAAATTTTCACGCTGCAATTTCGATTCCTAGAATAATGATAGTATCTTCCCCAAGAGGATGTGGGCTCAATGAAGAATTCTAAGCTGATATACATCACCAAACATTCACTACCCCATTGTTGTGCTGGTCGAAACATTCTTACCTATCACTGCGAAACATGAAGAAATTATTAGAAATTTTTGAAACATTTAATACCGTTGGAAGCGATCAGAGCATGTTTATATATATATATATATATATATATATATATATATATATATATATATATATATATATATATATAAATTATATATGTCAATGATGGGGACGGGGGAAAAACATTACATGGTCCAATAGGGTCTGAGAGTCTTGTGAGACCAGACTTCGCTGTCAATGTTAGGGACTTTGGGAAAAAATCATGACCGGCTCACACACATTTTTATATTGTAGCTGGGGGAGACATGTTTGACCCTCGTTGGAGTTAGGAAGCAGCAAATGAAAAGAGGTGTGGCCTAAAATATAAAATTGATAGCCTGTATTAGGTTAAAATTCAGACAGACTTACCAGGCCAATATGGAATGGATTTGAATGAGGTATGCTCTGTATTGAAAAATTACTTGTCCTATTTTCACAGGTCCTCGGTGCATGGTAGTGGTCGTTTCCTGAAACTAAAAGACTTTCATTGCATCGCACTTTTGACTTAATTCTGTAGTAGATGTACCTAGAATTTGAGTCGCCGTAGAAAATTATCTGGGGGGAAAGTTAGTGATATTGATAAGACCAAAGATATTATAAAAATTCATGTATGATAAGAAATTTTTTTTTAAAAAGTTGCCGTGTGACAAGAAAAGAAAAAATTGTAACAGTTTTTGAAGGTTAAGACAAGACAATATAACAGTTTCTGTAGGGTAAGTCAAGAAAATATTACAGTTCTTTTAGAGTGAGACAAGAAACAATTATTTTATTAGCTTTTGTAAAAAAAAAGAAGAAAATATTACTGTTTCTGCATGGTAAGACAAGAAAATATTATATAACAGTTTCTGCAGTATAACAGTTTCTGCAGGGTAAGACAAGAGAATATTATACCAGTTTCTGCAGGGTAAGACTAGAAAATATTATACTAGTTTCTGCAGGGTAAGACAAGAAAATATAATAGTTTCTGCAGGGTAAGACAAGAAAATATTATAACAGTTTCTGCAGGGTGAGACAACAAAATATTATAACAGTTTTTGCAGGATAAAGGAAGAAAATATTTTAACAGTTTCTGCAGGGTAAGACAAGAAAATATTATACCAGTTTCTTCAGGGCAAGACAAAAAAATATTATACCAGTTTCTGCAGTGTAAGACAAGAAAATATTATACCAGTTTCTGCAGTGTAAGACAGGTAAATATTATAACAGTTTCTGCAGGGTAAGACAAGAAAATATTATACCAGTTTCTGCAGGGTAAGACAGGAAAATATTATAACAGTTTCTGCAGGGTAAGACACGAAAATATTATACCAGTTTCTCATCTATCCCGACATTGGTGTTGGGTCCTCCGATCACTGGAGTATTGACTAACAGTTTGCTGACACAAACCTTCTATACATAATTACTCCAGTCAACAGTTGCCATCGCCGACATAAATAGCTTAACTTGCAAACTGAAATGCTTGTCAACTCTGGAGATTCGTAGAACACAAGCATAACGACTCGTCTATAAGGCAGACAGATGCGAGGCTTCCAGCCACACTTCTTCTCTAGGTGGGATTTCCTTCCGCCGACACCTCGAATGCTGGCGGCATCTCTAACGGTCCTGGCGTTTAGTCAGCGACAACACCATGGCATGATTACCGGAACGGCGTCTTGCAGAAAGGAAGATGTCATGCTGCTGTAGAAAAGCAACGCACCATTACTTGTCATGGGCCAATGCTACCAGATCACGGAAATTTCGTGACGGACGAAAAAAGAACCCGCTTCGAAAAGCATGCATAGCAGACCCGCTTTGATGACGAAATAAATAAACAGCGAAAATGATGAAGTACACGATGAGACGCCAACACATAATACCACAAGAATACTGGACTTTTCCCAGGGTTTCCAGGGTCCCTGTGGCTGAGGTAAGCTAAAATTAAAGTACTGAAAACAAAAATCAAGCAAGAGAAGTTAAAAGCATGCACGCGTAATTTTACTTACGTGTAAGTTTTTTAAACACGACTCGTCAAACTGCTCCACCTTGTCAGGGACAAAACACAAAAACGGTTTCCAGACTTTGTGGTAAAAGTATCCAGTTGGTTCCGACTGATGCCAAGTAGATCTTGGAGACACTTTATTACAGGGTACATTCGGGTCTGGCAGTCTTGTGAGACCAGACTTTGCTGTCAGTGTGAGAAAAAAGAAAACGTATTACACGATATGTTACATGAGGCATATATAATAAGATCAATGCAAAGTGCATAACAAAAAAATATCAGGTCTGGCAGTCTTGTGAGACCAGACTTCGCTGTCAATGTTGGTGACGGAGAGGGGGGGGGGGGGGGGGGAACATTACATGGTTCATGAGGGTCTGAGAGTCTTGTGAGACCAGACTTCGCTGTTAATGTTGGGGACGGAAAAAAACACATCACATTGTCCATTAAGTTCTGGGAGTCTTGTGAGACCAGACTTCGCTGTCAATGTTTGGGACGGGGGAAAGACTTTACATGGTTCATCAGGGTCTAGGAGTCTTGTGAGACCAGACTTCGCTGTCAATGTTGGGGACGGGGGGAAAAAAACATTACATGGTCCATTAGGGTCTGGGAGTCTTGTGAGACCAGACTTCGCTGTCAATGTTTGGGACGGGGGAAAAACTTTACATGGTTCATCAGGGTCTAGGAGTCTTGTGAGACCAGACTTCGCTGTCAATGTTGGGGACGGGGGAAAAAAAACATTACATGGTCCATTAGGGTCTGGGAGTCTTGTGAGACCAGACTTCGCTGTCAATGTGAGAGAGGTTAGTTGAGTATACTTTACAGGACGTTGCAGAACCAACCCCACAGCCCCTGAGATTTTTTTAAAACTAGCTATGCACAGCTTTACAAAATAAATATTTGGGTTGGCAGCATAAAGAGGATGCACTTCCTTATGAATGTCCTTTGCGTGCAGTACTTTTACCACTGTTTCTGTGTTGCGACTGCCCATGCAACACAAGGTGCCACCTAACGAACGGAGACATACAGTTGGATGTTGCTGTTACCTAATGACACCTTTAGAAGCCACCAACTACATTTTTCTACCGTCCCATAACCATTTTTGATTTACTTATTGCCTTCCTCTCGTAAATTTAGGCCATACCAAGTGTGAAAAATATAATCACAACACAGAGAGAAACCTAAACATCAAGACAAAGATGAAGAAGAATGTAGTTTAACACCTACTTACTTGCCTCTATATTTAATGTAATGTTCCCAGGCAGGAAATAGTTTCTGTGGAATAGATAAAATCAGATCAACAGGAGGACAAGCATTGCCTGTTTACTCAATGTAAGAATAATTTGTTTATTAATATACACAAATGACACTTTTTAAATTTAACATTCACACCGTGTTAGTACAACATACACAAACGACACTTTTTTATGTAACATTCACACCGTGTTAGTACAACATACACAAATGACACTTTTTTATGTAACATTCACACCGTGTTAGTACAACTTACACAAATGACACTTTTTTAAATGTAACATTCACACCGTGTTAGTACAACTTACACAAATGACACTTTTTTTAAATGTAACATTCACACCGTGTTAGTACAACTTACACAAATGACACTTTTTTAAATGTAACATTCACACCGTGTTAGTACCTATAAACAGAGTCGTTTTGTGCCTCGACTGCGTTAAATGACAATGGAGGAGATGGCGGTAACAAAACTAACTAGAGCTGTATTTAGATATGAGCAACACGCGTAGCTGTACAGTTGGTAACATTTGGATGTGGCACATGTTTTGGGGGGAGTCGCCGTGGTGAAACGATTAGATATTTACCTGCGGATCGGAAGTTCGTGGGTTCTGGTCCTGACGGAGAGGGAATTTTTCGGGGGTCAAATATGCTCTAGGCTTCCAGATCGACCCAGCCTTTAGTGGGTACCAGTGCAGTCCTGGGAAGTAATGGCTGACCACGGCAACTGCCAAAAGCTAATTGGTCTATAAAATATAGGTCGAACCCTATGTGCCCAATATGACTAAAGGAGTTGAAAAGAGTACTTAACTTTTTTCTTTTTTACTTACACTTTTGAGAGTAGCAGAATTTTAAAAACAAAACAGTAATAACAAGGTTTTTCGTTTATTCCTTTTATCACAACGAAAACCATATTAGATTATTAGTGTCAGGTGTATTAACATGGTATGGTATAATTATTTCACCACTTCCCTTTGAGGTGGCAGCGCTCGACAAAAGCGCAACTGGATTTCAGACCAGACTCAGTTCTGTGCAAAGTGTTTTTATTTATTCAAAAGCAATGATATTTTCTCATCACATATGAAAATTCTATTACCAAAATCCATGCTCTTCCCGTGTGTGGTGAGAAAAACAGTGCTACCTTATTTATATTTCCTGCATAGAGATCAGCTTAGGTAAAGAATTATCCTTTTTGAAAATTATTTGTTATCTATGTAGAAACAATATATATAAAAGAAAGTAAAGGACCCTTTTCTACGTCTTTAGGCGGATAGGGCATATAGGGCTAGACCTGTATATTTATAGACCAATCGGCACAAGATGGGTGATATGGTCAGCATCAAGCTGCTTGCCTTTACTTCCCAAGACTGCACCCGGTACCCACTCGAGGCTGGGTCGACCTGTGAGCTAAGGTCATTTGTGAAAAAAATCTGGCTCCGTCAGGGAGGGAACCCATGACCTTCCGATCCGCGGCGAACGTCTAGCCTCTCCGTCACGGCGTCTTCCAGAAAGAATATGGTGACAAGGTATCCTCTCTTCCATTTCTATGCAAATTGTGGCTTCCAAAAAAAAAAAAAAAAAAAAAAAAAAAATTAGTGATTACCGAAATATGTACACTGCACCCAAGATGTACAACTGTACTTCAGCAATAAACTGATCTCCTGAATAAAAAAAAAAAAGGAATTAGAGTGTGAAGTTAAAAAGACGGAGATTACGTTGAGTGAGTTGCACGTGATAGTAAATGATAGGTCGACTTAGTGTGAGCTGGTTGAGGGCCTATGTACCACTGGGAGTTAAAGGGCATGGGAAGGAAGAGAAGAAGAAGAAGAACAAGAAGAACAAGAACAAGAAGAACAAGAACAAGTAGTACAAGAGAAGTAAAGGAGGAAGAAAGAAAGCAAAAAATAATGAAAGAAAGAAAGAAAGAAAGAAAGAAAGAAAGAAAGAAAGAAAGAAAGAAAGAAAGAAAGAAAGAAAGAAAGAAAGAAAGAAAGAAAGAAAGAAAGAAAGAAAGAAAGAAAGAAAGAAAGAAAGAAAGAAAGAAAGAAAGAAAGAAAGAAAGAAGTTTGAATATCTAGACATACATATAACGTCAGGTTCAAAATATATAACAAAGAACTGATTGGCACAGGGAAAATTGCACCTCGTAAAATCAAGAACTTCTTATTCAATTATTTCCTGTTACTAAAAGTTAGAACACAAGAATTATGTCAAGCTCATAAATCAGTTCAAACATGTGTCAGAGAGAAAATAAATGTAAATTTATAAGCATCACTTACTGGAAGGTCTTTTGCTTCAATAATTTATCTTCAGCTGGGGTGACTGGCATGGGTATTTGAATCTTCGAAAATGCAGTAAGATGGTAGTCTGAACAATTTAACTCAGGATTGTTCGGGCGACCACAAAACCAAGGGAAGCCGTTTTCCAGAGTCAAGTTACATAACTCGGACGGTTGATAGCCAGGAATCAAAGGATAGGGGCCACATGGAACTCCCTCACTGGCCTGTGTGAGCAAACAGATGTTTAACTGATGTGGAATCAAAGATGCAGCTTATTATCTGTCGTTTTGTCTTGTTTCAGACTGTCATGTTTACTGCCTATGGCAAGAGTCATAGAACGATACTTCTTTTTCTTGTGAATATACATAAGACGATAGGCAGCCGAGCCAGGGCGCGCTTCATCGCTTTATGTGCCGTGATGTTATACAGTCACAAGGTGTCAGCGACTCCTTCAATTCATGTTTGTCTCGGTCTTCCCCTGACCCGAGCTGTTTCGATCTTTTAAACTTCAGGTTCAACGCTCTTGCTGGTTGCATTGTTGATTTTATTTTGATTAGCTGACCAAACAATTCCATTCTTTGTTTCTCACCTCTAACCTTCAACCAGCTAAAATAATTTCTAAAGAGGGTCTAAGGAACGGCATGGCTGGTACTTGTTCTGTCGCCACAGACTGTGCAGGTTGAAATTTTTATTTTTGCGCCCCCCCCCCCCCCACTACCACAAACGTAATGGCCCCAACGTCACCGAGGTTTCAAACCAGGGTCACTCACGTTAAAGCCTTGTCAGCAGCTCCTCTAACAGGTCATAGACAGCGACTAATTCTTTTAAAGTTACAGAGTATCTGCTTGAAAGGCAAGGAACCAGCAGTCTGTATAAAAACAGGCTAGATCGGTTAAAAAAAAAGAGGGGAACGCAAGACCTACCAAGAAGAAGAAGAAAAAGAAGAAGAAGAAGAAGAAGAAGAAGAAGAAGAAGAAGAAGAAGAAGAAGAAGAAGAAGAAGACGAAGAAAGAAGAAGAAGAAGAAGAAGAAGAAGGAGGAGAGAGAAGAAGAAGAAGAAGAAGAAGAAGAAGAAGAAGAAGAAGAGAAGAAGAAGAAGAAGAAGAAGAAGAAGAAGAAGAAGAAGAAGAAAAGAAGAAAGAAGAAGAAGAAGAAGAAGAAGAAGAAGAAGAAGAAGAAGAAGAAGAGAGAAGAAGAAGAAGAAGAAAAAGAAGAAGAAGAAGAAGAAGAAGAAGAAGAAGAAGAAGAAGAAGAAGAAGAAGAAGAAGAAGAAAGAAGAAGAAGAAGAAGAAGAAGAAGAAGAAGAAGAAGAAGAAGAAGAGAAGAAGAAGAAGAAGAAGAAGAAGAAGAAGAAGAAGAAGAAGAAGAAGAAGAAGAAGAAAATGAAGAAGATGAAGACGCAGAAGAAAAAAAAACATGAAGAAGAGAAGGAGAAAGAAGAAGAAGAAGAAGAAGAAGAGAAGAAGAAGAAGAAGAAGAAGAGAAGAAGAAGAAACGAAGAAGAGAGAAGAAGAAGAAGAAGAGAAGAAGAAGAAAAAGAAAAAGAAGAAGAAGAAGAAGAAGAAGAAGAAGAAGAAGAAGAAGAAGAAGAAGAAGAAGAAGAAGAAGAAGAAGAAGAAGAAGAAGAAGAAGAAGAAGAAGAAGAAGAAGAAGAAGAAGAAGAAGAAGAAGAAGAAGAAGAAGAAGAACAACAACAACAACAACAACAACAACAACAACAACAACAACAACAAGATGAAGACGCAGAAGAACAAGAAAAAGAAGATGATGAGGAGAAAGAAGAAGAAGACAAAGAATAAGAAGAAGAAGAAGAAAAAGAAGAAGAAGAAAAAGATGATGATGATGATGAAATGAGAAGTCGATGAAGAAGAAGAACAAGAACAAGAACAAGAACTAGAAAAAAAGGAGGAGGAGGAAGAAGAAGAATGCGAAGAAAAAGACAAAGAAGAAGGAAAAACAAGAAGAGAAGAAGATTAAGAATCTCGATGATGATGATGGTGATGATGATGAAGAAGAAGAAGACGATGAAGAAGAAGAATAATAAGAAGAAGATGATGATGATGATTATGATGATGATGAGAATAATGATGGTAATGATGATGAAAGAAGAAGACGATGAAGAAGAAGAAGAAGAAGATGAAGAAGAAGAAGAAGAAGAAGAAGAAGAAGAAGAAGAAGAAGAAGAAGAAGAAGAAGAAGAAGAAGAAGAAGAAGAAGAAGAAGAAGAAGAAGAAGAAGAAGAAGAAGAAGAAGAAGAAGAAGAAGAAGAAGAGGAAGAAGAGGAAGAAATTCATGTCAATTATTCGGGTAACATAACAATTGCAGATTCAATACCTTGGAATTTGTGTACGCTCCGGAGAACGGCATTGTGCTCTTCAAAGTTCTGTGTACGTAAGCCAGTGCTCTAAAAAATTCCCTGGGCTGTCTTAACGTGACCTTAACACTGTTAAATGGAAGAAAAGTTTACTATCACTTTCCGCTAAGTGGTCGAAGGTGAAGGATGAGTAAATAACATATGTTGCAACGTTTGCCTTTTTTTAAACTGTGACAACAAAGATTAAATGCCTTAGAAGAGCTGCAGCAGTTTCAAGGGAGACCTAATACGAAATCATGAAATCAGACGAATGCTAGGAATAAAACCAGTCTTACAAGTCATCAAAGAACAACAAATGAAGTGGTTTGGACACCTAATAAGAATTCCCTGGTACTATATGCCACAGCGAGCCACACTAAAACGTTACGACAGGGATAGACATGGTGGAAGAACTCGGAAAACATAAAGTGAGGGCATTAGGAACAGCCTGACAGAAATGAAAATCAGTCTTTTTAGTGCTCTTGACTAAGCTCATCAACGAACGTTACTTCTCTACCCCCCCCCCCCCCCCCCCCCCCCCCCCCCACCCCCACCCCCTAACACTTCGCTAAGGTACAAGGTGGAAGAGAAGAAGAAGAAGAAGAAGAAGAAGAAGAAGAAGAAGAAGAAGAAGAAGAAGAAGAAGAAGAAGAAGAAGAAGAAGAAGAAGAAGAAGAAGAAGAAGAAGAAGAAGAAGAAGAAGAAGAAGAAGAAGAAGAAGAAGAAGAAGAAGAAGAAGAAGAAGAAGAAGAAGAAGAAGAAGAAGAAGAAGAAGAAGAAGAAGAAGAAGAAGAAGAAGAAGAAGAAGAAGAAGAAGAAGAAAAAGAAGAAGAAGAAAAAAAAGAAGAAGAAGAAGAAGAAGAAGAAGAAGAAGAAGAAGAAGAAGAAGAAGAAGAAGAAGAAGAAGAAGAAGAAGAAGAAGAAGAAGAAGAAGAAGAAGAAGAAGAAGAAGAAGAAGAAGAAGAAGAAGAAGAAGAATCAGCGTTTGAACAAAATATATGTAAAGGTGTAAACATTGGCTTTACTGCATCCGGGTTGACACCATATTTCTTCGGCACTCCGTCAGAGTGACTCGTAGTCGAAGTGCGGTTTCACGACTGTTATTTTTCAGTTTACAAAGGAACACATGGACATTCCTGCTACGAATAGGTCAAAAAGAAGACTTACCTTCAACACAAATGCAGAGTTTATGCTTATGTCTCTCAGGTAGATGCATGTCAAATTCCAAAGACGCCAACAATCGAACTCATGTAGAGAAATATGTTGAGGTGAGTAAGATTCAATCCCATGTTGCGAGGTAACCGGTTTAATTCCAGCTGCAGGCGATTTGGCATCAGACCGACCTGTCTTGATTTCGACAGGCGTGTCGAGAACCGACCGTCAGTAAGCAGTGGCTGAACTTAAAATTGCCTTGTAAAATCAGTAGCAAATAAGCGATACTGCGGTGGCTTCACAGCCTTCGGAAAAAGGGTACGCAACATCGTATGGTTTCACAAAGCAGTTTTACATTGATTTGCTTACCTTCGATTTTTCAACTGTATCCAGTTCAAGTGTACATACACAAAATAAAATCTAAATGGATCTGCATGTCGCAGGTATGCTGAACAGAAGGTCGTTGGTTTAATGTCTAAAAGAGGCGTACTTATGCTTAAGGTGCGGCTGCAGAACCAACCCTAGCAATGTTTAGCTGTTATGGTTTTTCTAGGCAATGTAAACATTTGGTAGCAGCTGAATAACTTCTCTGAGAACATCCAATTGTATACTTGGTTTTAACATATTAATTTGCAACTCACATACCTTACAGACCCCGCCCATGGGAGTACAGTTGTTGCCAGGTAGGTCCCATTGTTGAAATCGGTAATGTTGGCACTTATACTGTGCTTAAACTTCACGTCTTTCAGCCAAACTTTGAGCCTATCTCCTCCTTTCAGTCTTGGTCGGCCCTTGGTATCAAACATTTTGATGACTACAGTCATCAGGTCACCGACAACGAATGTATTACTGAATGACAAGACAAACAAAAACAGTTTGGATGTATTCTGTAAAATGCCTCCAGAAAAAACCCTTTACACAGCATTTACAAACACGTTTAAAACAGACATTTTAAGTTTCTTTGTCTTTTCTTTTTCTTAGCGTTCACCGGCTGTAAAATCTGTCTGTCTATCTCTAAAACCACTACAATAAAAAATTTGAAAAAAACATGTCCTCTAAAATAAATTGCAGTAAACGAACAAACCTGAAATGAAACAAGCCGATATATGTGAGTGTCTGGATTAGATTATGACAAGAGATAGAACAATAAATACGTATTATGCAAAAATATAAGACCTAGCACCATTTTACCTGGGTGAAGAATGTTTTTTGCACTTTATCGTGATCCGTTAGGGCTAGAACGAACGAGCGAACGATTTTTATTTCCAAAGGGTTACAATCTAGGCATGAAGGCCTCCTGTCTTACTTTGGTCTAGTTCTGGCATTCCTCTTTCATACGACAGCTGTATTTTATGTATCAAACATATCATGTTCATGTATCAAAGTTCATAATATAGATGTAAAGTAAAAATACACAAGAATAGTTGACAAATACGTACCTTCAAATATATATGCAAAAATACTCACACATCGTAAACACATACAAGCACACACACAAAAATTCACAACACACTTACACACACAGGCGCATATACTGACGACACATACATATCATAAACAGGCATAAACACAATCACAGACTGAACACATACACACGGACACAAGACACAAACACGGACATAACGCATAAACATGGACACAACACATACACACGGACACAAAACGTAGACACGGACACAACACATACACACAGACACAACGCATAAACACGGACACAACACATACATACGGACACAACGCATACAAAGCGACACAACACATACACACGGACACAGCACATACACACGGACACAACACATGCACACGGATACAACACATACACACGGACACAACACATACACACGGACACAACACATACACACGGACACAACATATACACACGGACACAACACATACACACGGACACAACACATTCACACGGACACAACACATATATACGAACACAAAACATACACACGTACAAAACACAGACACAACACATACACACGGACACAACACATACACATGGACACAACACATATACACGGACACAACATATAAACACGGACACAAAACATACGCACGGACACAACTCCTACACACGGATACAACACATACATACAGCTCACACCGACACAACAGACACAGGCATCAGTGCTCTCACCGATTCAACACATGCACAATCATTTTACCCAGACACAGAGACTCAACATTCCCAAAGACTGCACAAATAGGCACACCACATGCATAACTCTCATACACACAATACAACACTCACACATACAACACCCATAGACACAGCAATCGCAGACTCAACACTCACAGACACAAGACACACAAATACAACACTCACAGATACAACATACAAACACACCCACACGCGCGCCCACCCGTATATCCAACAATATAATTGTGCCATCCACATTCTTAAGCCACTAAGAAGGGAAACAAAGAAATCTGGAGTAAATGGTGACAACGGGTAAGTTAAAAGCACAATGCAGGCATTGGAAAATTAACCGAGACATGTTTAGACATAGACTAATATGACTGCCGACGTCAAGCGACACACATGTTAATTTTTAACATAATGTTACTAATTTAAGCACATTACTTTTTCTTTTCTATTCTGTAATCTGTTTCTTCCCACAACCCTTAACGGCAGAAGTGGAAACTGATGATGATGATGATTATGATGAAATTGATGGTGATAATGATGGTGAAGATTTTTATTAATATTTCTTTTTTAATCAAGTCAAAGACGCATTTTCTGTTTCATTCTTGTAATAAAAATTTTAAGCCGGTTCGAGCTGAAAACAATGTCAAGCACTGTGTGTGTGAGATTTTGTATTGTGTGTAGTGTGTCTGTTGTCTATCTGTGATTGTGTGTTTGCCTATTTATGTTGTGTGCGTGTGTGAACAAAGTGTGCGCCTGTGGATGTAAAAGGATGACTTGTCTCCATGTGTGTGTCTGCAATGTATGAGAATTATTGGCGCGTATTTTCAAAGGTATGCATTTTACACACATGCCTTTGTATTTCTGAGAAACGTGTACAGAATGAATTTTGGTATATGAAAATAATATGCCAGATATATAAAATGCACTTGCCGTGTGAAAGATGAATGCTTATAAGTGTCGATTGTAAGACAGGCCTGCGCGCCAAATTTGTGAAAAAAACCTTTGCTCCGTTAACTTCCTCTTCGTAATCGTTATCATCCCCATTACCACCATAATCACCATGAACACCATAATTCTCATCATCATCATCCATATGGTAGTCATCGTGATCACCATCATCGTTGTCGCAGTTATCATCATCATCATCACCATAAATATCATCATCACCTTTACCATTATTATGACATTTGTCTCATTTATACACAGTGGACCTCGCGATCTGTTCATTCATTTAGCGTTTTCTAATTCATTTTGTTTTAAATATATGACAGACTAGATGTCATTGCCCGGCTTCGCCCGGGATAGTGAAAGAAATTCCTATTCTCCTGTCCTCTTCCTTATTCATATAGGTTAGTTGCGTATCCTTTACAGGACGTTGCAGAACTAACCCAAACAGCCCCTGGCTGTTGTGTGGTTTGTCTAGGCAAATTTACGTCCAGTAGTTTGCCATTGCTACTGGACGGTCGGCTTTCTTGATACCACTGTCAAAACCAACGCAAGGCGCATGGCCCACAGCTGGGATCGAACCCGGCATCCCGGCATTCCTCATCATATACATATATTTAATATCCCATCTTCTACATCACCTTTGTCTCCACCACTGCCGCACCTTTAAACATTGCCCTAAAGTGCACGAGAAACACCCCCTGTAATACTACTACCGGTATTTAACAATTGACAGTCAAATGTATTACCTTAGACAAATACATGTGGTTTTGATGAAGATAATTATAATTTTTTTTAAATTACATTTTCAGTGTTTTCAAAAGTTATTAGGTTTAATAATTTCCTATGTTCAATGTAACATTTACATATGTAAACATTTTAGTGACCACTCAGCTCATAGGCGTTTTCATAACGATTTTGTCTACGTTAATGTATGCCTACCTATATTACACAAACACGTCTTTATCTCTGTGCATACATACAAGTCATTACCCTGGCTCTGTAATGTGAGTTTCATTTACACAATTACCGATAATCTACATACTTATTTCCGAAAGGAGTTATAGTAGAATGTTTGTGGCAAGCAACTGTACTCTCATCCCACAATGGTGGGTCTGATAAATAAAACTTTTCAAATGGGTATAGTTCCTCTCTGGGTGGCGCAGTAAGAAATTCATGGTCCAATACTCCTCCACATCTGCACAAAAAAGAAAAAGAAAATATACTAATTATTTTTAGTAGTTATCTGATGTCTGTTTACTACTTGAAATAAAAATTATAATATATATATATATATATATATATATATATATATATATATATATATATATATATATACAAGAAGCGCATTAGTTACTGAAAAGAATCTAATTTTGTCATAGTTTTGCCACTCAAAATCTATGTAAATTATTAACTGTCGTTGTTCAAATTACACATAAGAATACCTTAGAATTTAATCAATCAATTCAGTTCATAGTACTTCAGCATCTGAGTCATCGATAGTTTTTTAGGCGTATAGACTTTCCCGTTAACTAATAAACGCGGTAGGAAGCTCGTACACAGCTACTATAATCAACAATGTAAGGATTAGATAATGACGAGTGTCTAGTGTGATAAGAAAAGGAGCATGGACAATATCATGACCACTGGAAAGATAAATGGTAGAATAGGCACAGGAAGTCAAGATAAACGATAATAGATGGCTTAAGACAGTGGCATGAAGGAATATCATCAATGGAATTGACCCAGAGCACGAAAGACCGAGATCTGTAGAGAAGCATGAACGCCTACGCCAGCTGACAAGGCACGTGTTGATGATGATGTAGTGCTAATCCGACTACATAACCGCAGAGTGAAGCAAGATATGAGCATCTATGCGTTGTTCGAGATCAAGATTGGGGACATTATAATCAGCTTCTCAAGGGGACCAGTTAGTAGGGTAACACAAATGACAATGTGCAGTGTTGTCGACTGTTATACTTTAGCAGATAAGTAAGTACAGTGTTCACTTCTATGCTATTTTATATTAAAGTGACTATAATATTCTACTATCATGTCCTCATGCTTAAAATATCTTGGACAGAAAGGAAAAAAAAAAAAAAAAAAGAGGAAATAAGAGGTTTTGAAAGAGGCCGGAGCCCGAAGACAACTTATCACAGACATCAGAAGGGGACAGTAATCATTTCCCGGCCATGTCACGAGAAGAGGGAATATTGAAAATGTTGTGACTACTAAAAAGATATGTGGAAGGAGGGATAGAGGAAGACAACGAGAGAAGACTCTTGACAGTCTTGTTATACGGCATTTAGTGTGTCAGTAAACCAATTTAATGCATGCTACATGAGATCGCAGATACACCTATTTCACTTATGTTTGAAAAAGGCTGCCCGGCCGAAACGTTACGTTGTGTCGTTTTGTGCACGTTCTCCTCTTTCCCATTTCGTTGAGCTTTTTAGTCAAATTTCTCTGGAATTCTCTGAATAAATCAGGCAAATAGTAATGTGGTTTCTCTTAATGGCACCCCACTCCAAGACATTTAGTCGTACACCTTTTTGGGCATTAATGTAGATAAAGATGGAGGAACTGATAGAGATATTAAAATAAGAATACAAAAGGCAAGAGGAGCTTTCATAGCACTAGAGAATTTGTGGAGGTCAAAACAAATTAAAAGAAATACTAAACTAAACATTTTTAATACTAATGTCAAATCATTACTATTGTATGGGGCAGAGACAACCAAGGCAATTACTAATAAATTACAGACATTCATTAACTGGTGCCTGCGCAGAACAGAGGGAATAAAATGGTATGATAGAATAACTAATGTAGAACTTTGGGAGAGAACTAAACAGGCTCCAGTGGACCAAGAGGTGAGGAAAAGACGCTGGCGTTGGATAGGGCACACACTGAGAAAACAAGAGAACAGCATAACTAGAATGTCTTTGCATTGGAACCCACAGGGGCATAGGAATAAAGGAAGGCAAAAAAAACACATGGAGAAGAGAGCTCGAGAATGAAGGAAGAAAGATGGGGAGGACATTGGGAGAGCTTCATGCAATGGCAAAGGATAGAAGTACTTGGCGTGAGTTAGTTGAGGGCCTATGCTCCATTGGGGGATAGAAAGGCAGAAGAAGAGAAAAAGAAAGTGAAGCCTCAATAGTGCTCTACTTCAACCACCTCTCAGTAAGGTTAACTGTTTTCTCCGATTACTATGCCCGCTTTCATTAAAGAGACTCAAAGACTACACGTCGACGTCTAGGGCTTAGGCTTTGCGAAAGCGCTTCGTAATGCCGGTGTTCCGGGTTCGATCCCTGCTGCTGATGATTTGTCTTGCATTGGTTTCGACAGTGGTACCTAGAGCTGACAGAAAGTAATGGCGAATCATTAGATGTAAAATTCGCCTAGAAAAACTAAAAAAGCCAAAGAATCCTGGGATTGGTTCTGCAACGTCCTGTAAAGTTACACAACTAACTTGTTAACAAATTACACGCTTCTGGGTTGGGAATGACTTTGTCCGTTAACCTGGTTACGCAGACAGCTGTTTAACGATTCAATTACCAGGTAATCAATAAAACCTAGTTTGAACTTCACTCCAAGGGGTCACTCAATAATTACTCGGTCCTTATGCCCGTGAAAACAACACAGAATTCCCTGGCTGTTCATTGTTAACAAATGAAATTTAATATCGGCAAAACCAGCTGCATAAACACGCATAAAATAGATGAGACAGCACTCAGTAGCATACTATGTTCACAGTCAACTGCATTTGTGAATGCATCCATGCATCCATGTCGTTATTTAAATGTAGGGGTCAAAGGGAAATAACAAGACATTCAGGCTGTGGCTCAATGCAGTTTGGTCATGGCTAGCATGTGGCTCGGCAGATTTTGAGGGTGGTTTTGGGTAAGGGGTGTCGCCGTGGCCGAGCGGCTAGACGCTCGCCACGGATCGGAAGCTCGTGGGTTCGCTCCCTGGCGGAGCCGGACTTATTTCAAAAATGACCTTGGCTCCCAGATCGACCCAGCCTTGAGTGTTTACGGGGTGCAGTCCCGGAAAAGTAAACTCGGCCGGCGTGATGCAGACCACATCGCTCATCTTGTGCCGATTGGTCTATACAAATATAGGTCTAGCCTAAAGGCGTGGAAAAGGGTCGTTTACTTTTACTACGTTTTAGGTAAGTCTGGAGTTGGTCCTTAGATGTCGTCATCTAGTGCTGTTAGCTGCGAGGTTTTTTTTTTTTTTTTTTTTGTGAATCATAAATTTCTTTTATGTGTTTATCATGTAAAATTAAAAAAAATCATAGTTTTTAATATAGTATATTATATAATTAACTGTTTTTGCTTAATTTGTAGTATTGTTTTATGCTGTTTATAACGTTCTCTTAGACATAGTTTATTTAAATTTCGAAAAAGTAACTTAAAAAAGGGTAACTATGAAAGTTACGTTTCTTGAATTTCTTGAAGTCAGCTTTTTTATCTTGGCGACTGCTCGGTGGATTTTGATTGAGGCTGCGAGGAAATTTAGGATGGATATGGGAAAGGTTGGGTTTGGCACTGGAAAGGATGGGTTTGGGTATGAGAAAGCTTTGATTTCGCTCTGGGAAGCTGGGGTTGACTCTGTTGAAGTTGAGGTTAGCTCTTGGAAGGTTGGGTTTGGCAATGGGAAAGTTAACATTCTCTGGGGAAGCTGATGTTGGCTCTGGGAAGGTTGGGTTTTCCTCAGGGGAAGTTAGCGGTGGTTTCAGGGAAGTTAAGCTTGGCTCTCGAAAGGTTGGGTTTGGCTATTGGGAAGCTCGGGGTGGCACCAGGGAAGTTGAGGTTGTTTCTAGAGAGGTTGGGTTTGGCAATGGGAAAGTTAGTGATGGCTACAGCGAAGTTTAGGGTGGCTCTGGGTAGGTTAGTTTTGGCTATGGGGAAGTAGGGGTGGGTCCGGGAAAGTTGAGGGTGGCTCAGATAATGCTCTGGGTTGTTGAGCCGATCAAAATGGTGACACAGGATTTTAAAACAAAAATTGTTAAATGAGTACAAACTCGTATTTTTTATATTGAGTGGAAGATGATTCCATAAATAAGGGGCAGAATGTGTCAATATATATCCCCCCCCCCCCCCATTCACACACACTCTTAAACACACACAGTGGAGCTTTAGACCCACGTATGATTATAACTGCTAAATCAAGTTGATATCGAACATAAGGTTAAACAAAATGTATTCAAAATCCCACTCTCACTGAAACTCCAGAACTTAGGGCCGTTAGGCAAGCATGTAGACAAGTAATACGTACAATGATGCAAGCTCGATCCGCTTGATATCCTCATCAGCTGTAAACGTTGTTGAGTTGGAGGGCTGGCTTTTGAACATTGTGGAGGGATCTTCTTTTAAATCCTGGCATTGCTTGTTCTGCCGTTTCACTTGCTAGAGAGTCAACATTAATATGCATGATGAAAATTGGAAAGGAAAATACAGAGTAAACAAATGTATGTAGAGAAATAAACAAGGATTATGTTTAGGTAAATAAAGTCAGCGAAGTAAAGGAAACCTAATGACACATTAAGTATGTGATTTTTTTTTTTCTTTCAGTAAAGGACTTTTTCCACGCCTTAGGGCATTTCAGGCATATGGGGCTAGACTTGTAGTTTAAACTTTCCGCATTCGAGTGTGATTTGATTTTGATTCCTTTCGATATTTGTGCTGGTTCTAATGCTGCTGCTGACATATGTTAAAAGTGAAATAACGTTAAAATCGAAATAACGTTAGAATTGCAGATATGAAGTTTGGTCTTAAAGCTGTGAGAAAATATTACTTTAATTAATTTTCAATCAACTAAATACTTCCGAAAAATGTTATACTGAGTTAAAGACTTAACAAATTAGTATGCTCAACACTTATTTTTAACTAATTGATAAATCCATCCCTTACTAGATGAATAAATAAATAAATAAATAAAGTTAACTGATGCAAATTGACCCTCCATTATGATTATCTCCAGTACGATTATCTCCAGTATGATTATCTCCAGTATGAAAATCTCCAGTATGAAAATCTCCAGTATAATTATCTCTAGCCTTAAAAGTCTATGGTTAAGCACCAGCAATGAGATAAAAATTAGAATTTTGAGAGCATGCATCTTCCCTGTGGCTACATACGGATGTGAGTCGTGGACTCTCAGTCCTTAAGAAAGAGAATAGGGGCTTTTGAGCAGAAATGCTATAGAAAGATTATCAGAATATCTTGGACAAAGAAGATGAGAAATATTGACATCTTAAAAGATCTGAACATCAAGGAAGATTGGCTAATAAACAGCATCCTTTCTCGAAAGCAGAAATATTTTGGTCATATCAAGCGCCACGACGGTATGGAAAAAAGTATAGCAGAAGGTATGGTACCAGGAAGGAGGGGCAGAGGCCGACCGACACGAAGATGGGCACAGGGTATAAGTGTCTCCGTGAATGTGAAAGTTCATGAGGCGGGAGAACTGGCAAGCGACTGAGTTTCTTACAGGCAGACTGTGATGAGAGCGACGTTCTGCAAAGGACCTGCTACATGATGATGATGATAATTATCTCTAGTATAATTATCTCCAGTATAATTATCTCTAGTATAATTATCTCCAGTATAATTATCTCTAGTATAATTATCTCCAGTATAATTATCTCTAGTATGATTATCTCCAGTATAATTATCCCTAGTATAATTTTCTCCAGTATTATTATCTCTAGTATGATAGTATGAAAAGCTTCAGTATGATTATCTCCAGTATGATCATCTCCAGTATGATTATCTCCAGTATGATTATCTCCAGTATGAATATCTCCAGTATGATTATCTCCAGTATGATTATCTCCAGTATGAATAACTCTAGTATGATTGTATCCTCTATGATTATCTCTAGTATGATTATCTCCAGTATGATTATCTCTAGAATGATTATCTCCAGTATGATTATCTCCACTATAATTATCTCCAGTATGAATATCTCCACTATAATTATCTCAAGTATGAATATCTCCAGTATAATTATCTCTAGTATGATTATCTCCAGTATAATTATCTCTAGTATAATTATCTCTAGTATAATTATCTCTAGTATAATTATCTCCAGTATAATTATCTCCAGTATGATTATCTCCAGTATGATTATCTCCAGTATGAATAACTCTAGTATGATTATCTCTAGTATAATTATCTCTAGTATAATTATCTCTAGTATAATTATCTCCAGTATGAATATCTCCAGTATAATTATCTCTAGTATGAATATCTCCAGTATGAATATCTCCAGTATAATTATCTCCAGTATGAATATCTCCAGTATAATTATCTCCAGTATAATTATCTCTAGTATAATTATCTCCAGTATAATTATCTCCAGTATGATTATCTCCAGTATGATTATCTCCAGTATGAATATCTCTAGTATGATTATCTCTAGTATAATTATCTCCAGTATAATTATCTCCAGTATGAATATCTCCAGTATAATTATTTCCAGTATGAATATCTCTAGTATAATTATCTCCAGTATGAATATCTCCAGTATAATTATCTCTAGTATGAATATCTCCAGTATAATTATCTCCAGTATGAATATCTCCAGTATAATTATCTCTAGTGTGATTATCTCCAGTATAATTATCTCTAGTATAATTATCTCTAGTATAATTATCTCTAGTATAATTATCTCCCGTAAAATTATCTCCAGTATGATTATCTCCAGTATGATTATCTCCAGTATGAATATCTCTAGTATGATTATCTCTAGTATAATTATCTCCAGTATAATTATCTCCAGTATGAATATCTCCAGTATAATTATCTCCAGTATGATTATCTCTAGTATGATTATCTCCAGTATGAATATCTCCAGTATAATTATCTCCAGTATGAATATCTCCAGTATAATTATCTCCAGTATGAATATCTCCAGTATAATTATCTCCAGTATGAATATCTCTAGTATAATTATCTCCAGTATGAATATCTCCAGTATAATTATCTCCAGTATGAATATCTCCAGTATAATTATCTCTAGTATAATTATCTCTAGTATAATTATCTCTAGTATAATTATCTCCAGTATAATTATCTCTAGTATATTTATCTCCAGTATGATTATCTCTAGTATAACTATCTCCAGTATAATTATCTCTAGTATAACTATCTCCAGCAGAATTATCTCCAGTATAATTATCTCTAGTATAACTATCTCCAGCAGAATTATCTCCAGTATAATTATCTCCAGTAAAAAAATCTCTAGTATGATTATCTCCAGTATAATTATCTCTAGTATAATTATCTCCAGTATGATTATCTCTGGTATAATTATCTCAAGTATAATTATCTCTAGCCTTAAAAGTCTATGGTTAAGCACCAGCAATGAGACAAAAATTAGAATTTTGAGAGCATGCATCTTCCCTGTGGCTACATACGGATGTGAGTCGTGGACTCTCAGTCCTTGAGAAAGAGAATAGGGGCTTTTGAGCAGAAATGCTATAGAAAGATTATCAGAATATCTTGGACAAAGAAGATGAGAAATATTGACATCTTAAAAGATCTGAACATCAAGGAAGATTGACTAATAAACAGCATCCTTTCTCGAAAGCTGAAATATTTTGGACATATCAAGCGCCACGACGGTTTGGAAAAAATTATAGCAGAAGGTATGGTACCAGGAAGGAGGGGCAGAGGCCGACCGACACGAAGATGGGCACAGGATATAAGTGTCTCCTTGAATGTGAAAGTTCATGAGGCGGGAGAACTGGCAAGCGACTGAGTTTCTTACAGGCAGACTGTGATGAGAGCGACGTTCTGCAAAGGACCTGCTACATGATGATGATGATAATTATCTCTAGTATAATTATCTCCAGTATAATTATCTCTAGTATAATTATCTCCAGTATAATTATCTCTAGTATAATTATCTCCAGTATAATTATCTCTAGTATGATAGTATGAAAAGCTTCAGTATGATTATCTCCAGTATGATCATCTCCAGTATGATTATCTCCAGTATGATTATCTCCAGTATGAATATCTCCAGTATGATTATCTCCAGTATGATTATCTCCAGTATGAATAACTCTAGTATGATTGTATCCTCTATGATTATCTCTAGTATGATTATCTCCAGTATGATTATCTCTAGAATGATTATCTCCAGTATGATTATCTCCACTATAATTATCTCCAGTATGAATATCTCCACTATAATTATCTCAAGTATGAATATCTCCAGTATAATTATCTCTAGTATGATTATCTCCAGTATAATTATCTCTAGTATAATTATCTCTAGTATAATTATCTCTAGTATAATTATCTCCAGTATAATTATCTCCAGTATGATTATCTCCAGTATGATTATCTCCAGTATGAATAACTCTAGTATGATTATCTCTAGTATAATTATCTCTAGTATAATTATCTCTAGTATAATTATCTCCAGTATGAATATCTCCAGTATAATTATCTCTAGTATGAATATCTCCAGTATGAATATCTCCAGTATAATTATCTCCAGTATGAATATCTCCAGTATAATTATCTCCAGTATAATTATCTCTAGTATAATTATCTCCAGTATAATTATCTCCAGTATGATTATCTCCAGTATGATTATCTCCAGTATGAATATCTCTAGTATGATTATCTCTAGTATAATTATCTCCAGTATAATTATCTCCAGTATGAATATCTCCAGTATAATTATTTCCAGTATGAATATCTCTAGTATAATTATCTCCAGTATGAATATCTCCAGTATAATTATCTCTAGTATGAATATCTCCAGTATAATTATCTCCAGTATGAATATCTCCAGTATAATTATCTCTAGTGTGATTATCTCCAGTATAATTATCTCTAGTATAATTATCTCTAGTATAATTATCTCTAGTATAATTATCTCCCGTAAAATTATCTCCAGTATGATTATCTCCAGTATGATTATCTCCAGTATGAATATCTCTAGTATGATTATCTCTAGTATAATTATCTCCAGTATAATTATCTCCAGTATGAATATCTCCAGTATAATTATCTCCAGTATGATTATCTCTAGTATGATTATCTCCAGTATGAATATCTCCAGTATAATTATCTCCAGTATGAATATCTCCAGTATAATTATCTCCAGTATGAATATCTCCAGTATAATTATCTCCAGTATGAATATCTCTAGTATAATTATCTCCAGTATGAATATCTCCAGTATAATTATCTCCAGTATGAATATCTCAAGTATAATTATCTCTAGTATAATTATCTTTAGTATAATTATCTCTAGTATAACTATCAAAGTATGATTATCTCCAGTATAATTTTCTCTAGTATAATTATCTCTAGTATAATTATCTCTAGTA